CATTACATTACATTACATTACATTACATTACATTACATTACATTACATTACATTACATTACATTACATTACATTACATTACATTACATTACATTACATTACATTACATTACATTACAATGTGTGGACAATCATTACATTACATTACATTACATTACATTACATTACATTGCATTGCCTGAATTATTCTAGCATTGTATTGCACTGCTGTGATATTATGGGATTTATAGAAGCACTTGACAATAGTTTCCCCTTAATTGGCAACACTTCCAGGTACTTTGAGCTACTTCTACTACTCAAACCTTGACTTTTATTATTTTTAATCGTTAAAAATTTATTCTCAGTTTTTTACAAGTTATTATTTATTTACCTTATTTATTGTTAAATCTTCAAATCTCAACCATTGTAGAATAAAGAAAAATACCAGATTTTGTCCAAAAATGATGCACATAGAAGTCTGTCCTAATGAATGATTCTGTTGTATTTATTAGACTATCCAAGAGCACATACATAATTGAAAATGAGAATATTCCAAAAAGCATTTTAGTAATTTGAATTTCTCTTCCACTTCTATTACTAAGTATTTTTGAGAGTTTCTTTGTTTGTTTTGAGCCAGGGTCTCTACAGAGCTCTAGCTGTCCTAGAACTCACAATGTAGACCAGGCTGGCATTGAACTCAGAGAGATCTGCCTGCCTCTACCTCTGCCCATGCCTCCTGAGTGCTAGGATTAAAGGTGTGCACCACCACTTCCAGCCTATTTTATGAGTTTTTTAAAAAGTTTTTTTTCTTTAAACTCTGAATTCTATACCTTTTCCTTTAAAGCCTAAAATAAGCCAAAGAGAAAATAGAAAATTAACTAGGAAACTGACAACATAGCTAATGATGCCTCCATGAGTGAAAAACAAACACTGAGTCAAGGCTCTGAAGCCCTTGTAAAAATTACCCTGTCTGATCTAATTAAGCACACCTGTGCATGTGTGCTCATCCATATATGAGGGAGAAAAAAGTATCAATGGGGGATATACCTAACAAGAAATGTCCCCTTCCATTTTAAAGTCTAAATTGATAGTTTAGCTATGTGATTCAATTTAGCCTGGACATCACTGTTGTAGAGCACAGTGGGATATCTGCCCATTAGAAGGAATTAGAAAATAAATATCACAAGGGATTTGAGTTCTAGTGTGGGAGCAAAGAGACTGACAAAAAATAACTTCATGCAGTTACATTTCTTTCCCATTGTTCGTGTTGGCCAAATTCACTTGTGTTATTAATAGATTTCTAACTATCCTAGTCTTAAACCTAGGCTCATGTCCTCTCAGGTCTTCACACTCTCCAGAGCGTGAGCAATCAAGTACTGCTTCTAGAGCACTTACCTTCCACTCTTCTTTTTCTATCTTCAAAATGACTCTTCCATCTTCCCTGGTGACCTTTTCTCTCAGCTTAGTTAAGCTTACTCGATCTTCCCAGATCCGCACTAGCCTAAGACACCAGGACATATTTGTATTCATAGGTAATGACAAAAGTGGCTTTTAAAATGTCCATCCAAACAGCTGATACAACAATGAAAGAAATAGAGGCCATGCATGAATTTAAGAGAGCGCTAAGGTTGAATGGGAAGTGTTGAAGAGAGGAAAGATTTATGTCATTTTGCAAAAAAGAAAAAAAAAACTAAAAAGTAACCACTGAGCCAGTGCTGACACATGCAACCACCTTTCAGCTGATTTCTTTTTTTTTTTTAAGATTTTATTTATTTATTATGTATACAACATTCTGCTTCCATGTGTATCTGCACACCAGAAGAGGGCACCAGATCTCATAACGGATGGTTGTGAGCCACCATGTGGTTGCTGGGAATTGAACTCAGGACCTCTGGAAGAGCAGCCAGTTGTTCTTAACCTCTGAGCCATCTCTCCAGCCCTTCAGCTGATTTTTAATACCATCGGCTCAGTGGTCATCATGGCAGGGAGCAGACTGGCATGGCAATGGCTCCTAATTTCTCCCAAACAGTTCTATTAACTGGGGCTCACTCTTGAATCTGTGGGATCGATCTCATTTAAACCACCACATCCTCTAAAATCTCTTTGTGTGCTTAAGCCACTTAAGACGGTCTTTTTTGAGTGTATATATATATATATATATATATATATACACATACATACATACACACACACATAATGATAAATCTTTCCACCAATCTGCCGGAGCCCTGTTAAGGTCCCAAGTAACACACACAGACTTATATTAGGTACAATGCTGCTGGCCAATGACTAGGATTTCTTGTCTGCTATCTCTATCTTAAGTATCAAACATAATTATTAATCTATATATTTTATAAAACTTATCAAGGACGCTGGTGGGATGCATCCTCTCTTGTCGGGCTCACATGGTGGCTCCAGAGAAGAGAGGAGGAAGAAGAGGAAGACAGTGATATCCTGCTTTCCCTACTTATAATCTGAGTCTGCCTGCTATGCCACTTCCGGCCTGGATCACAAGACTTCTTTTTACTACATTTCCCAGACTCCTCCTCGACTCCTAGTCCTACCTATCTTGCTACCCTATTGGCCAACAGTACTTTATTTATCAACCAATAAGACAAACATACACACAAGGACTTCCCCCATCACACAGCCTTCTATTTTCTTTTCTTTCTTTCTTTCTTTCTTTCTTTTTTTTTTTTTTTTTTTTCTACACAGGGTTTCTCTGTGTAGCTTTGGAGCCTATCCTGGCACTCGCTCTGGAGACCAGGTTGGCCTTGATCTCCTGCCTCTGCCTCCCGAGTGCTGGGATTAAAGGCATGTGCCACCAACGCCTGGCCCAGCCCTCTATTTTCTTAAGGGGCTGGCCCTTTAATAACCTTCACATTAGCCCTCTTCTCACTTGATTGGCTTTGAGCAGTCAGCAGTGTCTTGGATTCACTAACACAATTGTTTCAAGGTTGGCTTATTGGCTCTGGTGCCGGGGGTAGCACAGTACCTTGCATTTACTAAGCTCAGCCCTAAGGTTTTAAAAAGCATCACAATTCTCATATATTTTCCTTCTAGTAGCATGAGTGAGATCTGATTTGCATGCTAGAGAATTCAACCTTTTAAATACAAGTCAATGATTTTATCTGTAAATTCACATCATGCAATGGTCTCTAGTATCTGATTCCAAAATATTTTATCACTCAAAAATCCCCTTCAATCCTCATTAACAGACATCCCTCATCCCTCCTTCTCTTCCTGATCATCACTATTTTTATACCTATACATTTGCCTGTTCTGTGTTTCTTGTAAACAGGGCAATATATATGTGTGCCTGGCTTTTTGGCACAATTCAAACTTCATCCACATTGTATGGTACAAATCAGCAATGTACTTCCTTTGATGGTAGGATGGCATTACTGTACAGATCTATCACATTTGTTTGTTTATCCATCAGCTGACTATTGTTATGTTTTGATTCTTCTGTATCATGTTGCTAAGAACCTTTGTGTACATGTCTCTTTGTAAATAGCAGTTATTAAAGGTCATTCATTGTTTTGGACCTAGCTTTTACACTGTACCTAAACAAATCAGACTAAAGATCAAAATAAGTTCTGTGGTGGTCTGAATAAGAATGCCCCCCCCACCATAAGCTCATATATTTGAATGTTCAGTCATTAGGTAAAAGCACTACTTGAGAAGAATAAGTGTGGCCTTGTTGGAGGAAGTGTGACACTGGGGTTAGACTTTGAGGTCTCAGATGCTCAAGCCATGCCCTGGTGGGGGATGTCCTTTTGTATACTGTTAATATGTTTCTCTTATTGTTTGTTAATAAAACACTGATTGACCAATAGTGAGGCAGGAAGTATAGGGGGGGCTACCAGACAAGGAGAATTCTGGAGAGAGGATGCAGAAAGAGGATGCACCTGTCATGACAGGTGACAGTCACTTTCCCTAACCAAAATAGCTCCAATTAGTTTAGTAATGAATTTCCCTCTGCCATAATCCTAACACATAATCTTAACATAATCCTAAAGGGAGCATGAGGTAGTGTGATATGACCCAGCTGTTTATTTTTATAGTTCTGTCTTCTTGTCTTGGTTTTATAGGAAAAATAACTTTGGAATGGCCAAGCTGCCTTGTGTTCTATGATTTTCCTTGCCCCTCCTAGCCCTTTTCTGTATTTAAAAGCAATCTGTTCTTACTTAGATTCATAGAATGAGTGCTGCCTGAGTCTAGGATCATCTTGCTGTCTTTGGAAACAGGAGCTGAGCTAGAAAAATGGGGCCCTAAGTCCAGATCCCCAGCACCAGTGTGAACCCATGACACATCTGTAACCCCAGAGGAAGGAAGATGGGATGATAAGAGGGTGCCCAGGGCTCACCGGGCACCCAGCCTAGCTGAGTTACAAGTTCAGTGAGAGACCATGTGATAAAAAAAAAGAATAAAGTGAACAGTAACTGAGGAAGGCACCCAACATTAACCTGCACATGCATTTACATGCTCACATTCACATGCATTCACACATGAACATATACACACAAATGTATAAGGTGGAGAGTGACTCAGGGGGACAGCTGACATCCGCCTCTGGACTGGTTTTGCATGCACATATACACTTCTGCACATGTATACACCCACATGAATACCTACACCTACCCCCACACACACACACACAGGGACATGCTCGCACACAGACACACATGCACACAGACACACATGCACACACACACACACACACACACACACACACATGCACACACACGTCTTTAAAGTTAATTGCAATTTGACCTTCCACAGATTGTATATGTTTATGTCTAGGGCTAAATTCTTAGGAGAATTACTGAGTCATATTGGAACTTTCTGATGAACCAACAGAACAGCATGGCCCCAACGTCACATCTGACTACTTACTCTCCACAGCCCTTTCTCCCTGTGTTTGCCGCCCTCAAACTTATGGTCCCCCTGCTTCAGCTTCCCAAAGGTTCGAATTACAGACATGCACCACCACACCTGGCAAAACCAAGTTTGTTAATGCTATAACGTGATTTTGCAATAAAATTGTGTTTAAGGGTAATAGTGTTTTTTGAGGTCTTCATGGTATTCATTTCTTGGATAGATAATCTGAACACTTGGGTACACACACACACACACACACACACACACACACACACACACACACACATCTCTGAGGTGTAAAAGGGCTAACTGGAGGGCTGATCCACACGCAGGAGTTGGAAGAGGGAGGTGGACAGAAACTGAGTCTTACAATGTGGAGTCTGTGCTTTGGCCACTTTTGCAATCATCGTCCCCCCTCCCCCCTCCCAGTTGGAGCAACTGAAGTAGAACTTATCTGTTTCATGAATCTGCAAACATCCCCCCCCCCTCCCAGTTGGAGCAACTGAAGTAGAACTTATCTGTTTCATGAATGAGAAGAGAGATATTCTTGCAAGATTCTATTGAAGACAACCAATCAGGAAAGTAGGTAAAATGTTAACATTTCAGAAGAAATGAGAGCCCAATATTAAAACACAGCCCTCTCTTTATCAAGAAATCATGTGATCCAGAGGGGCCCTGGCCCCAGCTCACAGCCATTCAGATAGTTTGGGGAATGTGTCCAACTTCTGCTTGAGGTGCAGCTTTATGTTTCTTGTGGATGTAATCCTGAAAATTATACTGTCACAGAAACCAAACTTCCATGGGTATTAAGCGGGGTTCTGTGTCCACATGCAAACATCCTTTTGCTACTCTCAACACAAATGTCCCGTCTGAGTCAATTATTTCCTTTAAGAATAGTTCCAGAGGGCTGGAGCAACGGCTCAGTGGTTAACAGCACTGGCTGCTTTTCCAGAGAACCAGGGTTTGACTCTTCAGTACACACACTACATCTCAAAACCATCTGTAATTCCAGTTCCAGGGGATCTGACACCCTCTTCTGGCCTCTGAGGGCAATGCATGGAAGAGGTACACAGACATACAGGCAGGCAAGCCATGCACACATGCAAAATAATAAGATAGTAATATAGAAAAAATTAAAGACTATTTTGAGGGCTGAGAGATGGTTCAGTAGTTAAGGCCACTTGATATTCTTCCAGAGGATCCAGATTCAGTTCCCAGCACCCATATGGCAGCTCACAATTGTTAGTAACTTCAGTTCCTGGGGATCCAGTGCCCTCTTCTGGTCTCTGTGGGCACCGTACACATGTGGTAGACAAATTACCTGTAGTCAAATACTCATACACATTAAATAAAAATGAAGCATCTTAAAGGTTATTTTGAGCCGGACGTTGGTGGTGCATGCCTTTAGTCCCAGCACTCGGGAGGCAGAGGCAGGTGGATCTCTGTGAGTTCGAGGCCAGCCTGGTCTACAGAGCGAGTGCCAGGATAGGCTCCAAAGCTACACAGAGAAATCCTGTCTCGAAAAACCAAAAATAAAATAAAATAGGTTATTTTGAGTTTTCAGCAAATAAAAATCTATCAAATTCAGTGGAGCTCTTACTAAATGATCTTTTTACGATAATGAGATTATGTTTCCACTAATCTAAGATAAAATGTCACAGCATACTTGTGCTGAAATTCCTTCTCTCGCTTCACCACTTCATTGTGTTTCTTTATTCTTTCTTCCCAGACTTCCTTTACAGCATTGACGGCCCCAGAACAAACCACATTTTCTGTCATGATTTTTCCACATTGTAGTAAGTCATCTACTTCATTAAGTTCTGAAGAGCTGAGTCACAGGCCACCTCAGAGAAGACCTAAGTATACAAGAGGGGAAGAAGCATTGTGTTTCAGAATATTTGCACACACCATAGCAATCATGAGGGGTGATGCTTGTTGAACACCTGTATCTCTCCCAAACTATATTTATTACTTATCCCTTCCTTCCATCTTCCTTCCATCTTCCTTCCTTCCTTCCTTCCTTCCTTCCTTCCTTCCTTCCTTCCATCTTCCTTCCATCTTCCTTCCTTCCTTCCTTCCTTCCTTCCTTCCTTCCCTGTTTATTCAGAGACAAGGTCCATGTGTTGCCTACTTGGTCTCAAACTCCTGGGCTGAAGCAGTCCTCTGATTTCAGCTTCCCAAGTAGATAGAACTAGAGGCTCACACCAGCATGTCCAGCTATTCCGCATGTGTTTGCCTGCCATATCTTATTTTAAACCCACGTAAAATATGATTTGAGCACTTTTGTTGCCTTTAGTATTCACACAAGGAAACTAGAACTTAAAAGAACACATGTGGTAGGAGCCAGAGCTGCTGCCCAATCATCTTCCTTTGCTACCATGTCGTTCATAATAATGAAAACCTGTAACTAGACTTGCATGCAACTATGGGAGAGTGATTAAACAATGGACACATAAGTCTAGGGCCCTCAGCAGGAAAAGGTGCTTACCCTCAAGTCTGGCATCCTTCAGAGGATCCAGACTCCAACTGGGTCCTCCACATAGGGCTTTCACACAAGAATAATTAAACCAGTTTTGTTGTTTTTGTTTTTGTTTTTGTTTTTTGATGGCTAGAGAGACAGCTCAATGATTAAGAGCATTTGCTCGTCTTCCTGAGGACAGAAGTTTGATTCCCAGCACCCACATCACAAGGCTCCCCACTCAGTTCATGGGGATCTAAAGCCATATTCTGGTCTCCAAAGGTGCACAGGTGCACACACACACACACACACACACACACACACACACACACACACACACACACATGTGCTTGGTATACAATCTCACAAAAATAAACACATGTTTCAAAAATAATATAATAAATAAGTAGCTTGTTAAAAATAGGAGAACTACTATTCCTAAGGAATGCATGAAGCCTACACACAGGAACTGAGTGTGAACTCTTTCTGCAGTCAATAAACCTTGGTGTTAGGCATAATGGTACATATCTGTTGGTGGCCTGAGGCAGGGGATGGTAAGTTTGAGACCAGCTTGGGGTGCATAACAATATCCTGCCAAAATAAGTGGAAGGAAGAAAGGAAGGCAGGAAAGAACAGAGGGATAAAAGAAGAAAGGGAGAGTTGGTGGTAGGGAAGGAGTCTTAGAGGACATGTACTGGTGACCTAATTGCCTGGACATGTCACCTATAATTTATTGTCTCAGATGTTAATAAAACTGAAGTGAGTGCTAAATACTTTCCGTAACATAAAATGAGAATATTTAAAGAACGGGAGCTATCTTCATATATCTATTGTTTTATTACATATAAACTCACATTTGTTAACTTATTTCATTGTTTGACATTAAATATGGGTCATCATTAATATTAGTTTTCCTAAAAATGACAGTTCTGCATCAGAAAAAAAATCAAGCTCATACCAAAGCATTTCTTCATCTAACTGCTTTGTGCAGGAAAAGCGCTCAGTGTAGCCCTGAGGTAAGCATGCCGATACCATGATGGGAGTCTGCTTCCCAAAGTTAGAGAAATAGCTAAAGAAACACAATATTAACTTCTTGCTTGCAGGGAAGCTTATCTCTTATGTCCCAGAGAATGACAAAAATGTGAGTGATGACAAGCCCCCTAAAGGGCTCATAAGTTAAACTCAAGTTCAGTTCTACATTGGTGGGCTTATACACAGTGAAGTCATCACTGGCAATTCACTTATGCATAAGGAATGGAGGAAGACTGTTTTGGAAAAGCACTTACCATTGGGGGATGCTGCAGCCAACACACCCAAAGCTCCCGATTTTCAGCTAGAAACACAAGGTGAATTTTTTTCCAGTGCGGATCCAAATAACTAAAATCCTCTGTCGGGCTGTAACCAAGTGAAAAGTAATGTCAGCTTAGTTCTAATTTTAGCTTACGGACAAGGCTGAGAATAGCAAGAGTCACGTGGGGCTTCTGTGGAAAGGTTCAACTGATAATGTATGTGAGTGTGTTGTGTAGACAATGCCAGAGACACTAGGAACCTTTCAGGGAGAACTATTTCTCTTTTTTTTATTCATTTAGTTTTAAAGTTTTATGTTTGGATGTTTTGTGTGTATGTATGGCTGTGCCCCACATGCATGCAGTGCCCTGCAGACCAGAAGAAGGTGTTGGACCCACTGGAACTGGAGTTACGGATGGCTGTGTGCCACCATGTGAATGCTGGGAATTGACCCTGGATCTTCTGCAAGAACAGGTGCTCTTCACCACTGTGACACCTCTTCAGCCCCATGGAGGGAGAACTATGGCTAAGCACTAGAAAGACATTCTTTCTATAAGTCTTCCACTTTGCATGACTTACGGGTGGTATGTACTTAACAGAATGTAGTGGATCTATTTGAAGCCAAGCAAAACTTCAAAATACACTGATGTGCAACAGTACAAAGCCCCTACATTGAACAATGCTTCAGATAAACGAACCAGGAAGTTATGCCGAGGAGACCCAATTTAAGTTGCACCTATGCTTCAGTTTGGGAGCATGCTGGAGATTGAATTCATATTCATCTTCTTGCCTCTCAGGTTCCCTCCCAAGCCTGTAGCCTCAAATTTAATTAACTTTCAATTTTTATCTCTCAGCTTTCATAGATGAGACCTAATTATTTGTTCTTAAGAATTAACATTTAGTTTTTAAATTTTGTATGCATCTGTACATGGACAAATTTTAAAAGATAGCAAATCTCATTTTCACATTGTATCTACACACACACACACACACACACACACACACACACACACACACACACACAATTTCTTAGTACTTAGTACTAGAGTGGAGGCCCATGCATATGCTAGGCAAGCACTCTACCACTGAGCTACATCCACAGCTCTATAGAACTATAAATCATCATGTTTTGTTAGCATATATATATACAAAATAATGGGTTTCATTATAACATTTCTTTCCTAGAGATCAGCCTAGTCTACATGAGACCCTGGAGACAGAGACAGAGAGAGATTGAGATATTTATGGCCATATCATTTTCCCACCAGGGGATGTAAGTGTTCTTCACATCCTCCCCAACACTTGCCTTCCATCTGATCCTCCTGCATGCATCCCCTGAGTGCTAGGATTACAGGCATATACCACCATACTGGGTTATATGCATGCTAGGCAAGCAATTCATCAACTGAGCCCCAGCCCCAGTCCTTCCCTGTATGTTGAATGAGGTATTGCATTTATAGCAAATTCAAAAGGGATGTTCATTCTGCTTTATATTAGTGGGCTAATTTCATTTCTATGGAAATAAAATAATAATAAAAATAATAATAATAATAATAATAATAATAACAACATTGGAATAACATATGGATATGAGCCACCTATGGGTAACTGGGAAAGGGACCAGTGCTCTTAACTGTTGAGTCAGTCTAGCCCCCCAGTTTTCTTTTTTTTTTTTTTTTCAGGCGAGGGTCCTCTTGTGTTGTCCTGGTCAGTCTGAAGCCCCTGGTCTCAAATGATTCCTCTTCCTCAGCCTTCCACACCGCCAGGAATGTGGGTGCATGCCACCAGGCCTGGCTTTTACTATCATTTGTTAAAGACATAAAACTGTGTGAGAAATGATGCAGTCAACATTTTTTAAAATGACACTTTTGGGAGCTGGAGTGGTGGCTCAGTAGTTATGAGAGCTTGCCACCCTGCAGGTGCCATTTGTTTAATTACATTCTTGCAATTCCTTTTTATAATCTTGGTCTTTCCCAACTTCACTTATCATAAATTTAGACCTATTGTGAAAGCATCCTGAAGCAAACTTCAAGTTATATATTTTGCTGCCTGGTATAACAGTACTTACCCGAGGGTATGGATGACTGAGACCACTCAGGGTATCCGTTGGAAGGAGACTGCCTCAACCTACCCAGCTTTCCCCCACATACAAGCTCTTATTTTTCTTCTTTCTTTTTTTTCCCTGAGAACTTTCTTTTCAGTTGCTGTTAGAACCTGAATCCTTGCTCTCCATGTGTCCCTTCTCCCATCTCTTGTTACCACCAAGGACAGCTGTTGCCCATGTTTTGAATTGTAACATTCCTCATGGCACTCTGTAAAAGCCTGATATAGATGACCTCTTCCTGACAGAGCTGTGTGTGTTCATGTCATGCTTTAGTTGGCATTCTGTTTTTTTTTTTTTTTTGGTTTTTCGAGACAGGGTTTCTCTGTGGCTTTGGAGGCTGTCCTGGAACTAGCTCTTGTAGACCAGGCTGGTCTTGAACTCACAGAGATCGGCCTGCCTCTGCCTCCCAAGTGCTGAGATTAAAGGCATGTGCTACCACTGCCTGGCAGTATCCTGTTTTTTTAAACTAACTTTTTATTTATATAACCATATACATATATAATCAAAATTATGTGCATTGGTGTTTTGCCTGCACGTTTGTCTGTGTGAGGGTGTCAGACTTTGGAGTTACAGACAGTTGTGAGCTGCCATGTAGGTAACCTGGGTCCTCTGGAAGAGCAGTCAATGTTCTTAACCACTGAGCCATCTCTCCAGCTGCCCCTCCAGCTTTTCTGGGTTTTCTTTGGACTTCCTTCATTTTTTTTTTCTATAGGATTTAGGAAAAAAAATAAAGGTGGAAAAAGATATACCAAGAGCTTGGATGGAGGATTACTGAGGCCTTGGGACACAGTAGGTCCTAATATTAGGTCAGATAGTTTGTAAGGTAGGGTTTATGAGACAGACTAGAGTTAAAGAAAGATGTAATGATCCAATCTTAGTTTTTTAAAAAGCATGTGTAGGAAAGGAACAAAACCATTGCTTTCTGTTTTA